ATCACACCAATAAGAGGTAATTAATCTTTCTACTTCAGTATGAGGTATCTCCTAGAACTACTGTATTGCTCTTCACAATTTTCAAAGGGAACCTAGACAAGCAGGTAGATACAGATGTTTACATTAAGATAGCTGGTCCCACCCTGAGTGCCTGGAGTCACAGTTGTTGTGGGTTTCTTGTGTTTTAGAGGTTCTTGTGGAAACCTGAAATTGTCTCTGAGGGGATAAAGTTAGGTGTGGGTTTCTCTAACTTGGCACTTCCATGCTCCCCTTTTCTTGTGTTGCTGGAGCTTAAGTACAGGAGAGCCTAAATGAATCTTGATTGAACTTTAGACATGCAATTATTTTGTGGTGAAATAGCAAAGCATTGGCATATGGGCTGAGCGAGTATTTGAAAAATGGAGAAATTTGCTTATACACACACACTTGTCTGTGTGTTGGGTATATATGACATATTCATATATATGTATATCTGTGTACGTGCTTATACATATGTATATATTCACACTCCTGTGTGTATGTGTATACGTATATACACACATGAGATGATAGTTTCTGTGGGTGTAGCCTGTGAACACCACTTTCAGTTCTACTTTCCTGTTATAATGATATCTCTAGGGTTAGTCCAAAGTCTGCTACAAAAGGATTTTTCTGTTCGCTCTCTTGGAGAAGAATAGCTCACAGGCTAACCAAGGCTGAACTCCAGGTAAGTGATGAGTGAATCATCTGACAGCAAATACTGAGCACTGATAAAACAGATTAGGAGACTGCGTGCCTAGAGGTAAGGAGGGAAATATGTCTTGCCGATCATTTCAAAGAGAGGGTCAGAGAGAGAGGTAGGAGAGGACTTGGCTGTCACACAGTACGCTCTTACCATAGACCCAGAATTTTATGGGTTGGCACATTTAAAAGGACTGAGGGCATTACTGCTCTTATGCCAATCAGATCCCCTAGGTGGGAATTCCCCTGCTTACATTGCCAAGGCTGAGAGATGAAGTGGGAAGGAAACAGCAGCATGAGAGGAAGCTCGGTAAAGAGCGATCAGCGAGAGAGAGATGAAACACGACATAGATTAACCGGCATGCAGGCACCAGAGCTGGAGCTGGCTTCCCCGGGAATCTTTTCTGCACAGAGATGAGTTTGCAGGTGGGTGGAGGCTAGAGACGTAGGGAAAGAGAGTGGCGCTGCAATGCCAGAGCAAGAAGCAAGAAGGAAGCACTGGGGAGAGGCTATCTAATTTCTGCCACTGAGGAGTCCTCCTCTGCATGGGGGATTCAGGGTCCTTGGGGCTGCGGGGCAGGGGCCAGCTCCTGCAGGAGTGCAGGGTGGGGAGGGATTGCTGACTGCCAGCAGAAATGGAGCAGGCAGGTGCATTCGCAGGCAGCTGGCAGGACTGCATGGCAGGCAGGCAGCAAAAGGAAGGCTCACTGGGAGAGCCAGGACATGCTGATGGGAGCAATGTCCTTCAGGAAAGGGGAGAGAGGAAAACAGGAAATGAAAAAGAGACAAGCTGGGTCAGACTTTGCCGTTTCTGCTCAGTTTCCTCATAGGAGGGTGCCTTGTATGTGCTTTGTCCTGTTTGTATGTTGTCCCCCTTGTGTGTCGATACCGGCTGCACAGGGAAGGCTGGGTGTGAAGGTGGGCTGCGTTTGTTTTAGGAATTCAACCAGGAAAGAGCTCATTGAGCAATGGTCTCAGGGCAGTGAGATCAGCTATCTCCTCACCTAACTCTGCCCTGTTGCACATCCTCTGTGTTGGAAACAAGAAGAGGCATGCCTATATGTGTGTGCGTGTCTGTATACACATACATACTATTAAGACAATGCTGGTGGGTGATAGCTAGGACATATGTAACCCACACACAACCGAGTAGAAATCAGCAGCTTTCCCCAGTCTGCTTGTGGATTGATCCTTTCACCAACCAGTGACCCTCGTGCTGCAGACTCCATAGCACTGCTCAAATTTACCAGCCCTCATTTAGCTTGATAGTGTTCCCCAAGCTAGAATCAATTTGCACACTATTGGCACGCTTTATTTTAGCAGTTACATTAGCCTTTAGCATTTGTTAGGATTTATAGAACCTCATTCTGTTGGCACTCATGGTTTTGTTAAGAATATGTGCATATTTCCTCAAATACTTCTACTCGCCTGTGCCAGGGAAAATAATCCTGAGCATGTCTGATGCCTTGGACCGTTTGCCCATAACCCAGAAACACTTTGAATGTCTAGTTAATCACAGCGCCTTATGGTATAAGGGCATCTGTGCAAGTTTCCATATTTTTAGCTGCATTTCAATTTCTATGTGTCTTTTTTTCTTCCCAGCACAACAGGGAAAAGTGATTCCTTGGTAGGGCAATGATATCATGTACTAGGGCTATATTTCTGAGTGGGTGCAGAGAGGCCTGAAATGACCCTGTAAGTCAAGGTCTTAAGCTGAATTATTAGACAGGAATGGAAAGGGGAAGAAAATGGCTGAAAATGAATGAGGGTGGGAATGGGATTTCCCTGAGTGTCTGCTCACGTTACAGATGAGCAAAAAAACCTGGAAAAGATGCTCGGGGAAGTGACAATAAAGAAAAGCATCCTGTACCAGCAAATGGGGTTCAGTCCTGCAGTCCCTGGTTGGTTTCAGGCTGGTAAGGTGGAGAGCCATTAGGCTCAGTCGGTATTTCCCATGCAGTACCTGCCCAGTTCCCTTCCGTGCTGCCAATTTTCCATCTGTAAATAACCTACCTATAGATAGATTTTGATTGGCCAAGTTGCCTGGTTGTTTCTTTTTCTAACAGTAAGCATTTTGATGGCAACTTTAAAAATACCACTTAAATTTGTTGCTTGTGAAACTCATCTTACTCATAGGAGCTTTGCTCCTATGACCTACAGCACTGTGTTATCCAGCCAGACTTGCAAGACCAAAAAAGCCCCATAAAAGAGCCTCAGCTGGACAGCAGGTGAGTGTAACTACAGATTGCAATTCTTTGGGTGGGATTCACAGGGACAAATATCTAGGTATCTAAACTGTGGTGCTCCATTTTAAGTCGATGGGGTCATTTCTCTTGGAGTCATCACATTTTAATGTGGGTGTCCAAGAGACATGATGTGAATTGCACCTGAAACTTGTTATTTCTCTCCATTGGCTTTGGAGGACATGGTGGGTGACCAGCTCAGCTGTGGGCACTTAAAGACAGGGGAGAGGATTGTGTCCTTCAAGACCCAAAGCTCTACATCAGAGAGAGACAGATTAAAGGAAAATAACACAAGAGGTCAAAATGCTTATAGTCCTTCAGGTGGAAAGAGATGGAATGATTGAAAATGTTATCCACAACTTTTCCTCCTCTCCCCATATGCCCAAACAATCTCAGCTAATTCTGCCCCTTTTGAATACTTTTAAGCAACTCTGGCTAAAAATAACGCAACTAGAAGGGTAGGAATTCTCTGTATGGACTTGTCTGCGTGGGTCAGCTATTGTAAAACAAATAAGAGTATGAATTCAAAGTACAGTAGAACTTCGGCACAGAGTCTCAGTGGGATGACTGAAGGAGAAAGTACTTCTCAGTGAGCCAATCTAACCCGATTAACCTGATACAGAGCCCATGACGATCTTTGGGAACCTGTTCATTGGCCTCTTTGGGGTTGGTTCACTCTTTTCACCCTCAGTAAGAGACCTACTGAGGTAGGGGGGGTTGTGACACACTGGGGAAAGTTATGCTTTGAAAGTGCTCTTTGATCCTTGTCAAGAAAGCACAAACAAAAGAAGGGTTATAATTCAATATGTAATAAGGGTTTTGAAGGGAAAACAGCCCTCTCAGGCTTCAAGAATTTTTTTTCCAACTCCTCAGAGGGACAGAAGAACTAAAGTCACCTTGTTGGGAGTAAGGACGGGCTGGATATTACAGCAAGCTCTGTAACACAAAAAGCCATGTCAAATCTCTGCTACGAAAGGCACAGCTATAAGAGGAAAGAGAAGTGATGCAAGATCCACAGCTGTGTGGCTTCCCTTGAATAATTTCAATCCAGGAGATGAGGAACAGGCTGTGGGGCTGGAAAAAGCTGATGTAGTCCAGCCAGTTGATCTGATCTGCAGGAGGCTCCGAAAGCCCCTGGCTCTGCGTCATGGCTGGGCCTGACCTTCTTTCTGCCACAGACACCCAAAGCAGAAAAAGCCACTGGCAGAGGAGAAGGATGTGGCAGTAAAAAGGAAGAGCTAGGAGTCTGTAGGTTACAATGGTCAGTTTTCCGAGCTTAAGTTTCATTAGCAAGTATCGGACTGATGGCGACATGATAACGATGGCCTACACAGACATCCAGAAAAATATTTATTTCCCTGATCCCAGCACATTTACAATCAGAATAGCCAAAGGCAGATAAAATGAGGAAAGGGACTGAAACATATGCAGCCCTCTTCTTCCTATTGTCAGAACTGAGATTAGACATATGCTTGAAATGAGTATTAAATGTGAACGTCACTATATCTCCTGCAAGAAGCTGACTCTTCTTGATGCAACCAGGATTTGAAACACATACAGGAGACTCCCTGTAGTAAAAAATGAATATACAAAATAATATTCACAGATCCAGAATAAAAAGACCTAAGGCGGGGCTGAGAGGGGATGTATGGGGACTATTTCCTAAACAGGTGAAGGATCAGATTAGTAATAATGTTGTGATTATTCAGATGTTTAGCTGAATCTGCAAAAGATTTGTGCCGCTGTTAATTGATCTGATAGTCCTCATTCCAAAATTAGGAACCACAGGGAAAAAAAGAGTAAATTCAATGTAAGTAGCATTTGACAAATGATTCTGGAATATTTGTGTACAATACGCCTTTTTTTGACTAATCTGTTTCATCTCTGAACACTGTTAAAACCAAATATATTTATAGTGCCTTCAACAGGACAGAACAGCAAAAGTTATGTTTTAGATATATCCAAAATGTACTTTCTTCAAAACTAACTATTCATCTTATATTTGCTCTGACTGTATTTCATATTTTAGGCAAAATAATGACTACACACACCTGGCGAGTGTGGGCCATCTACATGGTCTTAGCTGCAAACTTCTCCACAGAGCAAGCGCTGAAGCAGGCTTGTCCTTCATGCGATGCCACTCAGCTTTGCAACTGCTCTTCCATGGATTTGGACTTCATTCCCCCAGGGCTCACGGCCAAAATCACAGTGTTAAACCTGGCCCACAACAGGATAAAGCACATCCGATCCCAGGACCTGCAGCAGGCTGTGAGCCTGAGAGCCCTGCTGCTGCAGTCCAACAAAATCAGCTCAATAGATGAGGACTCGTTTCGCTCCCTTGGGAAACTGGAGCGCTTGGACTTATCAAATAACAACTTGGCTCACTTGTCCCCCGTGTGGTTTGGGCACCTCTTTTCGCTCCAGCACCTTCACCTTCAAGGGAACTCCTACAGAGACCTGGGGGAAAGCTCCCCCTTTTCTAACCTGCGGAACCTGAGCTCTCTCCACCTGGGCAACCCACAGTTCTCCACGATAAGGCAAGGGAACTTTGAGGGCATTGAGCTTCTGGACAAGTTGTGGATTGACGGTGGCAATCTCAGTCAGTACGAGCCAGGAAGTTTGAAATCGATTAAGAAGATAAATCATATGATCATAAACCTAAGAAGTACTAATGTATTCTCAGCAATTGTCAGGGACCTTCTGCACTCTGTCACTTGGTTAGAAGTGCGAAAAATAGCATTCAGTATACCTGCTGAAATGCAACTATTGAGAGTCATGTCGTCTTCTTTTGCAAAGAAAATTTCTTTTAAACAGACCTTATTAACAGATGCTACTGTGCCTGAGATTGTCAGCATTTTAGAAGACATGCCAAAATTAGTGGAGGTGGATATGATAGACTGTAGACTCTTGGGAACTGGACGATGGGCAATACAAATTCAAGCAAACCAATCACAGACTCTTAGAGTTCTGACAATAGAGAAATTATCTATAGAAGAATTTTATTTGTTTACAGATCTTCAGGCTGTGGAAGGTCTACTATCTCTTCTTACCAAAGTCACAGTTGATAACACCAAGGTCTTTTTGGTACCATGCAGACTTTCACAACGTCTTCTGTCATTAGAGTATCTTGACCTTAGTGCGAATTTGCTTGGAGACTTCAGTTTGGAGCATTCGGCCTGTCAGGGTGGTTGGCCCTCACTACAAACTCTAAATTTAAGTCAGAATTCACTGAGTGACTTAGAAATGACGGGTAAAAGTTTGTCTCATCTAAGAAACCTAATTCTCTTAGACATTAGCCAGAATAACTTTGGTGAGATTCCAGATGTGTGCGAATGGCCAAAAAACCTTAAATATTTAAACCTCTCCAGCACTCAAATTCCTAAACTAACAACTTGCATCCCTCCGACGCTGGAAGTTTTGGACGTTAGCGCTAACAACCTGCAGGAGTTTGGACTGCAACTCCCATTTCTCAAAGAGCTGTACCTTGCAAAAAACCAGCTGAAGACCTTGCCTGATGCCGCACACATTCCTAACTTAGTGGCCATGTCAGTCAGAAGAAACAAGCTCAACAGTTTCTCCAGGGAAGTGTTTGAGTCCTTCAAGAAAATGGAGCTGCTGGATGCCAGTGACAACAACTTCATCTGCTCCTGTGAATTCCTCTCCTTCATCCACCACCAGGCCGGGATAGCCCAGGTGCTGGTGGGGTGGCCAGACAAGTATGTCTGTGACTCTCCCCTGGCAGTGAGAGGGGTGCAGGTTGGAGCTGTGCACCTCTCCCTAATGGAGTGCCACAAGTTCCTCGTGGTGTCGTTGATCTGCGCCCTGGTGTTCCTGGTCATCCTCATCCTCGTGGCCGTCGGCTACAAGTACCACGCGGTCTGGTACCTGAGAATGACCTGGGCATGGCTCCAAGCCAAGCGGAAGCCCAAGCGAGCCCCTCCGAAGGACATCTGCTATGACGCTTTTGTCTCCTACAGCGAGAACGACTCCGACTGGGTGGAAAACATAATGGTGCGGGAGCTGGAGCAGGCCTGCCCCCCCTTTCGGCTCTGCCTCCATAAGCGGGACTTTGTGCCTGGGAAGTGGATCGTGGACAACATCATCGACTCCATAGAGAAGAGCCACAAAACGCTCTTTGTGCTGTCCGAGCACTTTGTGCAGAGCGAGTGGTGCAAATACGAGCTGGACTTCTCGCACTTCCGCCTCTTCGACGAGAACAACGATGCAGCGATTCTCGTCCTCCTGGAGCCCATCCAGAGCAAAGCGATTCCCATCCCAAGAGGCAAGCTGCGGAAGATCATGAACACAAAGACCTACCTGGAGTGGCCTCTTGAAGAAGAGCAACAGCAGATGTTTTGGTTTAATTTGAAAATAGCTCTAAAATCCTAGACAGGGACATTAAGGAATGAATATGTAGCAAATGTATTCTGGATTTGTTTCCCTTGCCTGTTCATCCCATCACCTATCTGTATCTCGAGAATAGAGAGCTGAGCTACTGTAAATTCTATTACTTGCTGTGAGATTATTTTCTTTTTGTAGCCGTGGTCATGAATTGCTGTACTGGTTTGGGCTGGAATAGAGTTAATTTTCTTCATAGTTGCTCCTGTGGTGCTGTGGTTTGGATTTGTGACCAAAACAACGTTGATAACGCAGGGATGTTTCAGCTATTGCTGAACAGTTCTTGCACAGCATCAAGGCCTTTTCTGTTTCTCTCACTGGCTGTCCTGCCAGTGAGTAGGCTGGGGGTGCATGACAATTTGGGAGGGGACACAGCTGGGACAGCTGATCCCAGCTGACCAAAGGGATGTCCCATACCATATAACATCATGCTCGGCAATAAAAGTCGTGGGAAAGAAAGAGGAAGGGAGGACATTTGGAGTTACGGTGTTTGTCTTCCCAAGTAACTGTTACATGTGACGGAGCCTTGCTTTCATGGAAATGGCTGAACACCTGCCTGCCAACAATTGTCTACGCACGTTAATCAGCAGTGTTAGCAAAAGCTGTTTCATTTAAATATTTAATGATGAAAAGTTGTTTAGATATACAGCTATGTAGTTTATATATCTTCATCTTTTCAAAAGCTTTAGGAGAGAGCCTGCCTAGCCAAGGGTTTTTCTGCACTCTTTGTATAAACCACTTCTAATCAAATGCAATAATAGTCAGTTTACGCAGCAAGGATTTTTGTCCTAGCTCTCCTAGTTAGTGGATCTAAGGACTGATTCTCAGCAGTATTTCACAATCACCATAAGTTAAATGTCCAGATGTCCTGAGGATCATGGCTGCAAGGCTTAATGTAAAAATGCACCTTCACACTGTGGTTCTGGCTGTTGTAGCATGTGTTCTATGGCAGACAACTTTCTCGGTGAAAGACACCTGCGGAGGATGATTTCTGTCTAGTTTCATTGTACCATGTGTGGGAATAGATGCTGCAGAGTAGGGTCCAAATACTCTTCTGACTTGCTCAAATTTAAGTTTAAGCTGTTCTCAGCTAGAATGTGGGAAACACTAATAGATATGTAGTCTTTGAATCCAACACCATACTCCTCCGTCTGATCAGCAGCCTTAGCACAGGCACGAAAAGGGTGTTTCCTACCTTTCTACTCTCTGTAAACGTAGTCCACAAAATCAGAAGGGGTAGAGAGCATCCCACCTCAGACATTGTGTTTGCTGTCAGCTGGGCCCATGTTTTCTCGAGAAGATTGCTGGGACGAGGCCTCTAATTGCTGAAAAAGTGGAATAAATGGGAGACACTGGCACCAGGCTCTTCCTTCAGAGATGATTTAAAAAGAAAGGAGTATCTTGGATGATACCTGCCTTGCAGCCACAGGAAATTTCAGATGAACCCTAACAGCTTGAATCTGGTAGGCCAGAGGGACAACTAACTTCTGGATCAGTTCAGGGCTTAGGCACAGTGTAGGACATTTCCAGGCATGTACAGAAGCAGACCTTAAAAGCCTTCACATGGAAACGCCTACAGCATTTTGCTGTATCTGTGATGAGATCATATCCAAGTTAGTGTTTTTATTGTTGTGTTTTGGTCTTGGGCATCTAACGCGTACAAAATCTTTGTTCAAACACCTCAATATTTGTAACTGAGTTGGTACTTTGGAAGTCTCATCTCACAGCTAGTTACCTGTTGTGTTACTGCTTTTAGGAAGTTCTCTGCACAGCCAACGTGTCAGTGAAAGTGGAAGTCCCCCTGTCCTTTGCTAGCCATTGAGAAGGCTGAGGACAAACATTCTTCCATTACACCCACAGTTAGGCAACTCTGACAGCGTAATGCAAATGAATGATTTATTTACATGCATTTTTGCATATATGAATACAGGCATAACACATTATAAGAATTATTAACTTTGCTACTTCATCTAAGCGAACACGGCCACCTTCTTTGTATGTACTTAAGATATGCTCTTTCTTTCATTTACTTAATGTTTTTTTAATTGCATCGTTTCCTATTTTTAGTATCTAAACCTTACCTTCATCGGTAGATGGCTTCATGCAAGCTCTGCTTTATTCTTATATATATATTAAAGTGTAAATCAAGCTAATCTGTATTTCTGATTTCTAATAACAATGTAAAGATTCTTAAAATACTGACCATGTTTCATCCGAGTTCAAAAGCTACTTCAGCTAGGCTAATTATCTTTTAAGACCAGTTTCTCTGATTCCTAAGCAGAACTGCCCGTTCTTGCACAAACAGTCTGTGTTTCAATTCCTCACAGTGTGACCAGGGTAGTATAGATGTCAAACATTCGGCCGCTAAGCAGCAAGACTTATGCATCCATTTTGATCTGGGTTGTTCGGTTTTTTTTTTTTAAAGAAAGCAATAGCAACATATGGAATTGGTGGTTAGGGATCGTAACTTCGTCCTCCTGTGTTTGAGAAGCTGGTTATTGGAAGTTGGGCCTTTTGAGCATGGTGACAGTAGGTCAAAGAGGACTTAATATAGGACCTCCACATATAGGCCTATCTGACTACCAAGCATGCCATACATGTTGCTGTGGTTAGAGCTTTTTGTAAATAGCCATTGGAAAATGTATGAGTTACAATACAACAGCTCTTGAAAGAGGTGAGGGAAAAAAAGCTAATGGTAATCTTGTATTACCTTACATTAACCAAATGAACAAACTATTTGGGTGCCATTTTTTCAGAATTTGCTGTATACAAAGCCATTATTTCACTTAAAATTCTTCTTATCTGCTGCACAATTTTCTGTAGTCAGAATTTCAACTGGAAGCAACTACCAATATATTTAATAAAGAAACAAACTTAAAATATTTCTTTTCCTTTTTTTTTTTAGGGGATATTCATTCTAAGAAATAAGTCCTTTTTTTTTTTTCCTAGCATAATCTTCCCATTAAAGTCAGCAATTTCTTTTAATTCCTACTTTGAGACAATAAAAAAATGCTTTAATAGCTTTACTTTGAGAAAATAAAAAAATGCTTTAATAGCTTGCTGTACAGTCTTGCTGTAATGCAAAAAAAGGCACTATCCTGCAAAAGGGTGTATAGCACACCAGAGTTCAACCAACTGCTATTTTCTCTCTAGTCTTTTAAAATTAAATACAGAATATGCACATTATAGTAGACAGGTAAATATCCAACACTTTGCATTCTCACTAATAATCTGAGTCCTATTCTAGGCACAGTGAGTAATTAATGCCTTGGACGATGCCTGTAACAACAGGTTGCCAAACCACCAGAGAGCAGAGCCAGTCCAAAAGTTGTCCATACAATACGTGTGTGTTCCCACCTAACCTGTTGTTAAGGAAACTGGAGAGAAAATGCAACAATAGGTAAACCTTGGTGTTTTTCTTAGCCAGAATCAAAGAAAAAGTATTGGGTTAAAATTTTGAAATGCCTTCTTTTCAACTCTTCTAATTTACTTCCTTTTTTACAGGGGTATTAATATTAAAATTAATTAAATTTTTAATATTAAATATTAATATAAATATTAATATTGAAATTAAATATCCCCCCCCACATATGGTTAAAATAGGCTTCAAAAAAGTAAGCCAAACTTTGCTTTCACTCAAGCAGGTTTCTACAGATGCAGCAGCAGATCTTCAACTATTATTTCATTTACTAAAGGAAAAATGTTGTTTACTAACTACTAAGAGAAGGGGGAAAAACAGCACTTGTTCTGAAAGTGGATTGTATCAATTTTGTTATTTCATTAAAGAGCAAAATCCACTGCATGGCCTTTCTAAAACTGTGATTTACATTCTTTAAAATGTTCCTCTCATTATAAAAATTATTTCCGGATGTCTTAAAATCAAGAAGGAAAATATATATGCACTTTTCTTTTCCTAGCTTGCTTGGGGTCTTAGATAAGATAAAGCCAAACAGAACTATCATCTTCCCTAAATATAATTGTTCCTTATAATAGTTGGTTTTCCATTTATTTAATGTGGCCATCTCATCTCTCCACTGCAGATCAAAACAAGAATTAGTAAGTAATCAGGCTACGGTTTAGAAAACCCAAATCAAAAGCACACTTGTTAGGGAGAGGGTATGGGTTACTTAACATCCTCTTCAAATCAACTTTCTCAGGGCAGTATGGGCAAGTCTGGTTCTTGCCAGCAATGCACCAACCACGGATGCAGGATTCATGAAACCTGGTATCAGGTGTATTGTTAAGGAATCTTTCAAATATAAACAAGGCCCAGTGCATACATCTGCAAACCTAGTCAAACCATCAACAGATAATTTTAATGACCGATTATGGATACTGCCTTGTTTTATAACCAAACAGTTTCAAATGGCTTAAAATATTTAGAATATTTAGAATTATTTTGAAGTTGAATCCAATGTCCTGAACATCCAGACTGGTATTCATATTTTCCAGCTCGCAAGAAGCCAGGATATTTGTTATGAACTGCAGAAGGGGGTGATTAGTAACATTGTTCCAGCACGTATGCAATACCTTTCGTTTTAGTTTCTGGAATGCAAAATGCTGAGTTGTTTGGTACCCCCAAGTATGAGGCACTGGGTCTTCTGTCAGGCTGTAGGGTATGTATGTGCCATCGTTTGAAAAGGATTCCACATCTGCCTTAAAACTACCCAGCAAATGCAGCCCCGGGCACAGCCGGAGGAAATCCTCTGTGGTACACGGGAGCCTGAATTAGCAGACCTGACCAAGGGGTCAGCCTGCCTGACCTAACGTACTGCCAGGCACAACCACACAGGCTGTGCACGAAGTGCCTGGAAGGAGGATGTAGGCCTGAAGCTGTAGGGTTACAGCCCCTCTTGCACCAGTTTGTCTGTCAAAAATCTCCGTGGCCTCAACTTCTGTCACAGAACTGAAATATACTTCATGCTCCTATTTTTGCTTTTGTGCTATGTTGTTTCTGAATGTGGTTTTGGTTTCTTTTTTTCTTGGTATTTATTGCCGTTGTTATTATTTTTTAATGCAGCATAAAAGAGGAGAAAACAACAGTTCCATAATTACATGGAAAGGATACACATGATTACAGGACAGCTGGTAGGTATTTTCAGTGATCCCTTCTTCATTTATATCCACAAAAATTTTCTGCCTGCAGACTGCACAGATGTCATTGGACAAATTTCTTGTTGGTATGCCACTGACGTTGTAAAACTGTCAAGATCAAGTTTACAGGAAAAAAAAGAGGCCAAAGAACAACAAAATATTTGCTTAGAGTCAAGGATGCATAAGCACATTTTAAGTGCCATCAAAGATAAGGACAGCATGAAAATGGCACAGTTGTCTTAGTTTACTGGTGTCAGGATGCACAATTACCAAGAGATAATTAAAATCTTATTGCTGATGCAAGAACTTTAGCAACCGCCTGCTTGATTTTAAGTAACTGGGACATAAGAAAATTGTGCTGAGATAATCACCTCATTTGGAAAGGGAAGATAAGAGCTATAAAAAGGAAAGGGCAAGAAGACTCTTTCACAGACTTTGCAGAAGTAAGAAGCTTGTCTCCCTATGGCAATTAGGAAAATTATGTAGTCTCTTGTACATTGGGACCTGCCTGTTGGAAACCCCAAATCACTGGCTACTACTTAATTAAGGCTATTCTTCTAATCATAAGATTGACAAGGGAGTTCAACAGTTTGTCTGTGGCACAAGAACAGCTCTCCTCAAGGAAAAGTGAGGTTAGTTTACTGCAAGAGTATCCAGTAGACCTTGTTCTCATGAACCCAGGGCCACAAGAGATTCAAGAGCTCACTTCCAGTCCTTGCAAGTGGTGTTCAGGATGATGATCACCAGCACTTCACCACCAATGGTGGAAGCCATGTGGTCAGAACAAACCTCTGCAAAGTCTCTTCCCATCACACCATAGTACAGTCCGTAAAAAAGCAGTGTCATAGCAAAACCCATGCAGTCGTCAGACTCAATTCTGTCATAAAACCACAAAAGAGTACTCGGGTGAGTGTTCTTGACCAAAACACCAGAATAAAATATCAGCAAGACTTTTACTCCAGTTAGCTCCTGCTTCCTTCAAACTGCAGGTTTAGTTTCATTTTCTTTTGTAGCAGCAGACACCCTCATACTTGAAGTATCAACATGCTTGACGGCAAGCAACGTTGAAAGTAGGTTATGAACTGCTTTTGGAGCCACAGCTACTCAGCTCTGTTATAGGAAGGCCAAGCTGACACATTTTCTTACAGAAAGGGACTTTGCTTATAGTCTTATTATACAGAACAATTAGATATATTTCGTTGTTTTGCAGAAGCAACAAGATCAGCCAAATCTCAATAAGGTGTAAGATGCCAGTCAAAGAAATGTTAAGGTTCTGTAGCTGAAAGAACCCACCGTCCTCCTGAATACAAATTCCTCAGAATAAAATCTTCGCTAAATTGCAGCAAGCGGTATTTAACCCCTTACCCCAAAAAACACCCAACCCAATAGGTTCTGCAAAATTGTTAACATCTCTTGTCACCTCTCTGAGATTGTATGTGTTACAGGTCTTAGGAGATGGAAACCAGGCTACCAAATACTCATAAAACCGGAGCTTCTCAACATTAAAAAGGACCTGTCATTTCTGCTGCAACAGGGCACAAAGTAAGAACCTTTAAAATAGAGCTGACAAATTTTGTACTTATATCTTTAAAATACACTGGTGGGGGAATTTAGCTGGTTAAATAAAATTCCTCAACAGAATAAAGCTTAACAGTATTGGTAACACAAGACTGTTAAGTTTCTGCCAAGGATTTTCCATCAGAGCTATGTACTTTTGGGTTAATCAACTATACAATGTATGGGCAATAAATGTGACACTTAAAGGAACAGCTGACTGACTTATGTGCAGTATCTCCAATACCTCCAAGAAGTGTTGGACTTACAGCAGATGCATTATGTAGTTGATCTGCACGCTCTTGAGGAATCCCTGGAATTTCTGGTCAGACGGCGCCTCAGAGTCCAGCACAGTAGCTCTGACTGGGCTGATAGTCAGACAGAAATCCTGGACAAACACAAAGAAAATTCAAATTCTACCCAGGCAAAAATTCTAGCTAGATTAAGAGGTTAGGTCGAGAATCATCTGGACATACAGTATTGTCTTTGGCAATAGTCAAAATAATAAGAGGAGAACCCCCTAGCAACAATATAGCCTGGTAGAGTGGGAAATTATAATTGTCAGAAAGAACTATAATGTGTTTTTGATATGAATGTGCTTATCTACTTTTATCTTTTACATCAAGCCTTTTTATGTCTCATGTCCTTCAGGTACATAAATGAAGGACTGAGGATTAACTCAGCAGTTAAATTAGGGGATTAAATGAGTGAACACAGTGGCTGTATGAAGTTTAAGGTTTTTCCCCTCTTCTCTTCACACCACAAACACAAGTTGTAAAATGACTAAATATCAGACTTCAGACCAACTATGCAATAATAAAAATCAAGAAGTAAGAGAACCTACAGCTACACAATGTAAAAGGGGTTTCATATGTTGAGGTGGGTGGTGAAGAGACCAGCCTGGAGCAATTTCACTGCAAACAAAGTAAAATCTATCAAATAGGAAATCACAACAGTTGCCAATCCCAATTTTACCTGAAGATACCTACCTAAAGAATAAATTAAATCCAAACATGGTAAACATTATGGCTAGATAACCCACAATTCCAACTGCATAACTCAGTTTATAGATCAGGAGGAACCATTTGTAGACCAACCTATGGATAAGAGAAAAGAAAGACTGCTCAAGACCTTGCGTATTTTGCAGAGTGGCACAAAATGCCACATAGGTAGCTTCTGCTGAAGTACTCATCAATTCAATAGAAGTTTTACACTTCTATATTTCTGCCTTACTTTAAGGTGAATAAAAACGTATAATACAGGGAAAAGGGCAGGACAAAAAAAAGCCCCAAACTTTTTTGTTTTGCTTCAGTTTTCACAAGAAATGGTAATTGTGAACAGATTGCTAACATAATTAAAACTAACTCATAAATTCAATAGAAGTTTTACACTTCTATATTTCTGCCTTACTTTAAGGTGAATAAAAACGTATAATACAGGGAAAAGGGCAGGACAAAAAAAAGCCCCAAACTTTTTTGTTTTGCTTCAGTTTTCACAAGAAATGGTAATTGTGAACAGATTGCTAACATAATTAAAACTAACAGTTGGGAGCTGTGAAAGAGGGAGACACAGGCCAGAACAGGACAAGAACAGGTAAAAAACAACTGAGGTAAGTTAGATATAGTCAAGTCAGTATACCACCAATGAAATTTATCTAAAATACTTTAAAGTTAGCAGAAGTAGTCTCTGAACTATTAATAATTGTCTTTGCGAGCCCAGGGTGGAGAGGCGGAGTTTCAGAAGACTGAAGAAGGAAGAATACAGACCTCTCAGCAGCGAGGCAGAGAGGGCTCTAAGGAATAAATTCAGACTATTTGGTATATATACCAAATTGAGCTCTTCAGGCTCAGTAACACCTGGGATGACTGCAGATGGTAAGAGTCTGCAGAATGAAAAACCAAGATGGAACTGATGGAATGAATTTAATTTTAACTCTTTAATTCTTTTTCATTTGCATGTCATGTTTGATAAACACTGGTTTAGAGAAACTTATTCATACTGCAGTTGGAAGATTCCTTCAAATTCAACTGCTAATGGCCCTCTTTGTTATCTGTGAAGGTTTGTTCCAGGGAAATTCTTATTTGCTCTTCTCCTTCTACAGGTTTCCTTTAAGAAACAATACCCAAAAAAACCCCAACCAAGGCAAAACCAACAAAAAAGGACATACTGTGGTGTTCTTCCTGAGAGAGGCTTGCAGGTTGCTCTGACAGCGATGTAACTGGCAATAACTGAGAGAATTCCCCACAGGGACAGGGGTCTCCACCAGTAAAGTCTGATGGTGAAATAAAGAGGAACAACCCACATCTGCAGCAGTGTGACTGTTGGCAAAACTGAGATGGTAATTTCAAGGTAATGACGTCCTATGGTTCCATTTTGCATGGTTAGGTTGGATTAACAGATTGCCAAACTGTAAAACTCAAACAAAAAAATGTGACTTGTACAGCATTTGACACAGGAGGGCCTTTGACCCTAGAATAAGGATGTTAGTCTGCCTTGCACCTTGTAAATCATTAGTAATCCCAGTGTAGTAAATGGTTGCAACACTGAGATATAACTCATCAGACACCCACATCCTATCCTCAAAAAACTAAACTGTCTATTGATAGAATTAATGCTACTGAAAAAAAATTAAAGTTTGTTTTCTAACTCAAATTATATATGGTGACCGCAGGGCTAAAGCTTTGGGAACAAGTTTTCTGAAATCGGTGGAGACAGTTTGGCCTTTAAGCCTTAAAGCTGCTCTTATAAACTTTCAGAAAGGCACATTTGGCTGCATTAATTTGGGATGCTGCTCCGTTACATGACCACACTACTGAAGGTTTTTCTTAAAAACTCTTTCTACAGCACGACAAAATGTTGTGGCTTAAACTTTTAAACCATTTTTCTAAATGAAATTATATCAAACTTAATATGTATATTTGCTTGAATTGCCCACAGTGATGAAATATTCTACTTCTTTCCCAATAAGCAAATATTTGAAACCCGCTGAAGAGTCAGAAGCCCTGTAATGTCAGTTCTCTCCATGATCACATTAATAAACTGTGAATTTGGGACTGTGGAAGCCTGATGATGACAAAGATGAAGCAAGACTGACTTTAATATTTGTTTGCAGAGTTAGCTCCCGCATCTTTACAGAAAGGTTACTAAAAATAAAAAAAAATCTGAGGGGAGATGGTTTTCAAATTTATGTTTGCTTTGGGGCGGGGGGGATTTTTTAAAAGCAAACAAAAAGCACAATCCATCTAGAGTAAAAAGCTATTTCTATGGAAGATGAATCCCCTTCCTTAACACAAAAAGGAGAATGCTGAAGGAATGAGTGTTACTCCCTGTGAAACCTAATGCAGTTTTGCCACAAATTTCAACTGAAGCAGGACTGGATTCTTCTTCTCCTAAGAAAAAGGAGAAACTCTTAAAAAAAAATCCCCCCAAACCCCAGAAAGCATGCAACTATTGAGCAAACTGGTATTTCACAACATAAGTTTCAATAAATTAACAGATAGAAACACCTGTAAAAGATAACGACACAGCATCGTTAGATCGCATCACTGTTATGCATTTCTCCACCTTGCAGCCCTGGCTTCACGGGACCACAGTCTGCTGCTTGTAATCATAAAAGTGACAGAGCTCTTCCCGTGCCACGCAGCCCTCCTGGCATACCAGAGGTCAGTGGTCCCTACACATCCCTGATCGTGGAGCCTGAGTTCCCCTGGCCTTCACCGGAGGCCACTAAAGGCTCCCTGCTGCCTGCCTGCCTTGCTACTGTCCAGCGCGATCCTCTCCAATGTGCTTACGTACTGTGGGTTGCTTTTTTTTCAGTAGACTGAAGGTATAGTCTGAATTTAAGTGGCAAAGCCAAAAACTGAACGGGCACACATCTTCAGTAAAGTAGCTACTTTGTAATAAAAATCTATAACAGAACTTTGTTATCATGTTAGCTGCAAAATGAAATGCTAATTAATTAAAAAATGGTATCACAACCTTCTCTCAGGTGATGCTGTTATCAGATCAATTGGTAGATATTGTTTGCAGTAATTGTTTCAAATTTCCTTATTGATTTTTAGGTCTTCCAGATGTTAATTTTAATTCTATTAGTCTCTACATGAAATGCATGAATATTTTGTCATGTAAATGAGGACAAAGATAGGAATCGAGTCGTACAGATGAAAACCCCAGTACTGATTTATTATTAATACTGGAAGGTCACCATCTGGGCAATTCCATAAAATAATACATCTCCATTGCTGCTAAATGGGAGCTTTAACATCTGGATCATGTTATTCCAAATTTTTCTCATCCACCCATCATAGCAAGAGGAATTTCCTGACAAATCAGAGTGCTGCCCAAAGGTAAAATGTTTTTCTCATTACCGTACTTTAAATGAGCTCAAAAAGACCTAGAACTGAAGTCAGCATCAGCGTCATAGACAACTTTCCCATTTTCTAATTATGCAGATTAAATAGGTCATACAAGCACCAACTGAAAGATGTCCATCTGTCCTCTGCTTCCCTCACAACGCTCCCCCCACTCTGAGGGAGTAAGAATGCCTATCACCAGCAAATTCAACAGAAGAGCATTATTCCACTATCCTTTCCATCTTATAGCATATGGCAAAAACTGCATACATAAAGAAAATAACTGTGTAATAATTAGATTTATTGTGACAGACTGACCTTACCAGAACTTGTTAACTTGGCAACGCAAGCTAACTGGCTCTCTAAAGATCTAGTTTCTTTTGATGTAGACATATTCAAATACTCAAAAACATATGCATGGAAGAAATAATAAATCAGCTGTTTGGGTTTTTTTAAGGTTTAAATTAATATGCTTATACTTGATAGTACATTGGAAATTGGCAGGAATTTCTATATTAAGTAAATCAACCAACCTTATTTTCAAGATTTGCCTCATTACCTAGGTATAGAAATCAATGCTGTCATAACTATGCTGCTTCAGTTTTCAACTATATTCCAAAGTAAGTTCTCATTACGTGACTGCCACATGATACAAGATACAAAATCAGTAAAATAGGCAACCACCTACGGGACCAGAAGTAAGGCTTTTGTGTTTGAGATTGTTCTGAGACCATGACAAATCTGCCTTTCTATCTCAGATATTTTAAGATTCCTATCACGCCAGGGGAGAACAACTGTGTCCAAATATATCATATTTATTTAATTTTCATCAATGGACAGCTTCCAATGGCAACTAAATTGCATCATAAGAATCGCTGAGTACCTGATAGTCAGAATTTCCTTTGGGAAAATACAGAGTCAGAACACTAATAAGCTTTTTCCTTCCTTCCTTCCTTCCCCAGTTGATGTGCTAGACTCCTGCCTTTATGTTGAGAAAAATGGATAGGATAGGCTAGGACAGGATAGGAATGTCTTTTCAAGGATGGTAATTCGCTGACAAGCATTCTTCATTGCCATCCCACATCCCAGAGCACATAATACAGTTGCAAGCACATAATTGCCTGCACCTCACTGGATTAGAGGAGTGCAAAATTTGTGAGTGAAATGGAGAAATGAGAGCCTTACCTGAACACTTATGCAAACCTATTGAAAATCAGGCTTTTACAATACGAATTAGCAGAACACAGGCTCCATATTTATTTTTGAAAATCTCAGATAACAATAACAAAATTCCCAAAAGTAACTGAGAAACAATAATTTTCTCTAATCTGCTTCCTCATCATATGGAAGTTAACCCCCAACTGTCAGCCACCATCTAGAAGAAAAAACACAATTGTCAGAGTGGCCTACATTTTATTTCAGGCCAAGACTTACTAGAAAAAACTCTTCCTTATTTCCCCCCCACCCCCCCCGTGCTAGGATCATACCCATGTTACTTTATATGTAGCCATCTGGTGAAGGGCAATCTCTTCCTTCTTGCCAAAATTATCCACAGCTGAACCTTGGTTGCTTTGCTGCAACTTTTTTGCTCTTGCCTCTTTGAAATATGAGCCTTCCCCAGCATGCCTTTTTTTTTTCTCAGGAGACATTTTACATTCTCGATAAGCCTGGATAAGGCTCTTTTGGAAGGTACAGGCTGTTGCTGTTTCTCTTGCATCTAGTAAGTAGTCACTGCTTTTTATTTTTTGTTCTTTTTGAGCAAGCTAATGAATGCCCTTTCCACTTAGGACTGATTTTATGCTCCCTTTGACCTTCATTTCCTTTTTCTTTCAAAAAGAAAACAAACTTTTCTTTTTTATATGTTCGCAAAGCACTTTGAAGAAGAGGGTGGGAGTCAATCACTGCAATCCTTTGCTTTATTTCTACTAACAGGACTGTGCAATTCTTTCTGAGCCCTTACTATGTCTGAGAATAGCATGAGTATCCAGAGCAGAGATGTATACATGCAAGCACCCACCACGACCTCAAAGAATCAGACAGAAAGGTTTGTCAGCTGATGCTGCCTTTCAAGCCATGATATGTAATGGAGGGCTGGCTACTTGTTTCGTTGATCCCTTGGGACAGAAAATAGAAGAGAAAGCAGTTTTTGATCGAAAAAAAGGAGCCTTAGGTTTACCCCTCCCATTGAAAATAATGTGTTCTACCTCTTCATCTGATTTCCCTTCTCTTTCGCTCCTAAAGATGCAAGCATGTTGTTACAAGCAGGGGAAAGTGTTTGGTTTCTTTTCTTCAGTATTAGACACTGTTGTGCATAACTTACATGTGAACTATACAGGCATAAACCAAGCGGTCAAAAGCTGGATGGCAAGTAAGAGAAATGCGTAAGCAAGCAAAAGTGGAGGGCTGTTTTCTCTCTAGTGAGCATGTGGTTGTTTTTCAAATTTTGACTTATTTAAATGTTTCCTACCAAATCAAACAAAAATGATATGCACATGAACACAAGCATAATAACTGCCACCTGGAAGAACTGTAATGCGGAAGTCTAGACCTGCCTGTACTTAGGGGAGCAGTAGAATTTGTTGTTGTTGTTGTTGTTGATTTTTATGTCAAACGGACAATTTCCTGTATGCATTAACTAAGTTGTTTAAATCCTAAATGCGACCATCTTTACAGTTTCTGCTCCTAAATCAGAAGGTTTCCTTATCTGATGCAACAATGTATACTAGTTATTTTTCATCTATCTTGTGTAAGGATCTCATTAATCATTCAACTTTGTATCTTAATGTTTGTCCTATTTGTTAGTCTTCAAAGTACAGTGGATCAGATTTCAGCAGTTACTATACTGGTAGAAATTTGTAACTTTAACATTGCTGCATGACATGCTTTTAAAGAAAGCAAGCTAATGCAATGAGATCGACAGTGTGTTTGAAAACTATACAAAACTATCTGGATATGAAACATGAGGGCAGTTATAACAACACACAAACTTGTAAGTTGTTTTGGTGACAAACACTCTTAAGCTACCTAACATGGAATAAATGCAATAAACCATCTACTGGCAGAGACCCACTGTGAGTAGTGCTCGCTATTATAAAGTAACTTCATACATAGATAGATGGTAGGTGTGGGAATGTATTACTCTCCCAGCTAAACAAAGCGTGAAGCGGAACTGCCAAAACTCAGTGCAAAGTGAACTTCAGCTTCTGGTGCTACTATTTTTACTGAAAGAGGCTCTGCTTCAGTTCCTCTTTTACTGGAGAAGGAGGCCTTGCTGCTGCCACGCAGCTATGCACTGAAAATTGAGGCCCCAACATGTCTCTGGCGCAGATGTTTTGTTTATTTTCACATGCACTGCAAAAACACAAAACCCATCACAAAGTCTTATTAAAGTGTTGTGATGGTTGTAGTTGAACTGGAGCCTCCCTAAATTAGACTAAATGCATTTAAAAGTATACTTTTCCATATTGGCTATGGCACTTTGCAGATGTGACTGGCTCCTGTAAACTAATAGTTGGGAATGAAGTTTCAATTGCCGAAGACTAAGTTACACAAGTAATAGGACTGTAACAAGTGTAGGCTGTTTGCATTTTTGACAGAGGTGTACTACAGTCTATGTAGTACACATTAACTAACTTTAAGTACTGCTAAGGAGGATAATGCCAAAGCAACACAGAGTGCATGGTTCTTAGACTCCCACAGGCTTTCCCAGGCAGACAGGGACCTTGCCAGCTGCTCATCATTGTACGCATACTTAGAGTTCAAGTGTGTTTCAGCACTGATTTGATACCAGTCTCATGCAAAATATTTTCAATGGAAAACAAAGACATGGACAGTCTGAGTGACTTCAGTCACTTCAGTGTTGTGTTCTTTATTCTAAATGTCTGTTGAAATGAGTAAGGTAAAAATTGATAGGAAAGAAATACTTGAAAAGTGCTGGACTGAGATGCTAACGTGAACATAAAATGATTGAATCATACAGCAGAACTGGTCTAGAAGAGAAGTTAAAGAGAACATAATGGTAAAGTAGTATTGTATATGATTATACTATACGTGCTAAGGTATTGTGTGCACTCAGGGTTAGGAGTGTGTGTTTGTAAAGGTAGAGAGTTAATGACGTGAAGCTAAAATCCTCAATGAGCTGCGCTACCTGTGACTTCATTAGACACTTCACCTGTATATATCATAGAATCGTTTAGGTTGGAAAAGACCTTTAAGATCACCAACTGTTAACCTAGCACTGCCAAGTCCACCACTAAACCATGTCCCTCCCTAAGCACCACATCTACACGTCTTTTAAATACCTCCAGGGATGGGGACTCAACCACTTCCCTGGGAAAGCCTGTTCCAATGCCTGACAACCCTTTCGGTGAAGAAATTTTTCCTAATATCCAATCTGAACCTCCCCT